AGATAGATAGATAGATAGATAGATAGATAGATAGATAGATAGATAGATAGATAGACAGACAGACAGCCTCAGTACCACAAAGATAGACAGACAGACAAATTAGATAGATAGGCAGGATCATGATCTGAAAGTAAGACCCAAAGTTAAGGGGCTGGAGAGATGGCTTGGTAGTTAAAAACACTGGCTGCTCTTCCAGAGGATCCGGGTTTGATTCCCAGCACTGGCTCAGAACCATCTGTGTCTCCAGTTCCAAGGAATGTGACACCTTCATCTGCTCTCTGCAGGCATCAAACATGCATGTGGGGCACAGACACACATGCAAATAAAACACCCATACATCTAAAATAAAATGATTTATTTAAGAGCTAAAGTTAAAATCTTAAAGAAAACACAGGAAAAAGAAAAGCCACAATGAGAGACCATAGTCACAGCCACCACCAGGACAGCTAAAAAATAAAAGACAGCAATGAGTGTTGAAAAACACATCAAGAAACTGCAGTCTTCCTGAAATGAATGGCAAATAGTCTGATGGTTCTTTAAAACATTAAATATAATTATCCTATGACCCAGAAGTTTTACTCTGAAGTATATGCCCCAAAGAAGTAACAGCAAGTGTTCAAACAAATGCTAACCCTAATGTCCAGAGCAGCATTAGTCACAGAGTCAGAAGGTGAAAACAGTCCAAACGTCCATCAGCTAATGAATGGACACACAAAATGCAGTCTGTCTGTACAATGAGAACTATTCGGTTGTCAAAAGCGTAAGTACTTGATTGGGGGTGTAGCGGGATGGTTACAGCACCTGTCCGTCATACAAAATGCCCTGAATCTCCCCCCCCCACACACCCCGTCACACACTCACAAGATTAAAACAGTGAGCCTTGGCAGCTACTACAAAACTGATAAACCTTAAACTCCTTAAGAAGCCAGACCACACACTAGGTGGCAGCACTTACACCAACTGTCTGTAACAGGCAAAGCCCCGGAGGCAGAAAGTGGATTAGTGGCTTTTAGGAACCAACCATAGAAGGGCAGGAATGAGCAGTGTGCTAATGTGTTTGACAATTTCTTTTAGTGGGGGCGAAAAAAATTCTGAAATTGACAGTAGCAATGGCTCCCTGACTTTGTAAGTGTTCTAAAAGCCACTGAACTGTACGTTTGAAATGGGGAAGCTACACCGTGTGGAGTTCGTCAACAAGGCTGTAAAAGATCTCAGGGACGCACACTGTCCACAGTCCCAATAAGCTCCAGGGGACCGCAGAGGGTGGGTGCTGAGTGAGGGCTTCACCCCACACAAGTTCTCAGTTCACCAGAACAAAATGACACCCTGTCCTTTCTGAACCCCCCTTTTCCAGGTGAGGCCTGCTGCTCCCCGCTTTTCCAGCACTTGGCAGAATAGGCTCTTCTGCCCTGTGTGGCTACTTCACAACGGCAAGTCGGACTTCCCTGGTGGGCAAAGCCCATGCTGGTGCCCACAGCATGTGCCTGCAAGGTCTTTTGCCAGAGTCAGCAATGAGAATGCAATGGGCCTCTGCAGGGCTGAGGAGAGAAGGGCAAGGCAGCAAGCTAAAGCTAGAGTCCCAAGGCAGGAAGGCATACTTACTTCTGCAGGTTGGCCATCTGCTTCACAGCTTCCACGGCTCCTGGCAGAGGCTCGAGTTCAAAGAAGAAATCCTTTGACTCCCAGATGCTGACGGCTTTCTCCTAAGAAGTCAGAAAAGCAAGTCACCTCCAGGTCCCCACTGTCCCACCACCCTCCTCTTGGAAACACACACAGTTGGACAGGGCTGCTACTAGGTGGGAAAGAGGTTCAAGGCTCCCTACACTCACCCCAGACCCATGTCCTGGGGGAATCACAAGGAGTTGGCGTGTGCTTGGATTCCCCCCTCCCCCAGGAAGGATGTGACTTCTCTTAGGACACAGCAGAGACAAACTAAGGTGTCAGTTCGGGCAAAGCCACCTGGTGTTCTCAGGTTGAGGGCAGTCTTCACAAAGTACACATGTGCTAGGCTTGCCTAGCACAGCCAGCACACAGCACACAGCGCACAGTGGGGGCTGAGGGAATGCATGCATGACCACAATGAAAGAGCCACTAGTTAGAAGCTGAAGGAACTCAGACCCCGAAGTGCACCATGGTCCACAAGGATAGAACTACGGTTAGCTGGGAAACAGACAGCTAGGAGGGTCCCAGATGCTTCATCACACCGATCAGAACAGTTGTGTTCTCACCTGGCTTATGTGCTGAGGAACCAAGACATTATTTTATTTTATTTTATTGAGACAGGATCTCTCTGTGTAGCTCTGACTGTCCTGGAACTCTCTATGGAGATTAAACTGGCCTTGAACTCAGAGATCCTCCTGCCTCTGCCTTCCAGAAAAGGGATTTTGTTGCTTATAAATTTGAAAGCCAAAACCTAGACCCTGTGCCAGGCATGACGGCCCATGCTAGTCCCATTACTTGTGAGGTCAGGCTGGGCAACAAAATAAAACCCTGTCTCAGAAAGAAATACAAACTCTCTTTTAGGCTATAGTAAAACTGATGCCATATAGCAAAACAGTGGTGGAGGAAGGATCCCCTTTCTACCATGTATGAGTAGGTCAGAGCTCATGTTCCCAGAGTGCTAGCCAGATCTCTCCCAGGGCCAGGCAAGGGGGGAGTAAGACATCTCAGCCTCCAGGAGCGGAGCATCTCAGTGCTGTCCATGTGTGCGGCACAGGAACACCAGTGCCGGTTAAGAGAGCACCCATCCCCTTGTCAATGACGTGGGCTGAGCAAGCACACTGTTCCTGAGACACATTCTCAAGTTCCATCCTTACAGCCTACAAGGAACAAAGATTGCTGGTTCACAATGTAAGAAAAGCATGATTTCCTTCAAGGCCACTTAGGGTAAAGCCGTCAAGACTTGAACTCACATGCAGAGTCAGTATGACCCTTGCTGTGGGCCAACTCTGGGCTGGCCACCACGCTCACAGAGCTTGGCACCAAGAACGCAAAGACAAGACCCATCCCTTCCTCCCAAAGTCCTGGTGACACAAGACAGATATGGAGTTCCAATGCCAAGCCTGTAGTTGGCCTCCCAGCTCCCTGGGAAGCACTGGTAGAGGCAGTGCCCTCTCTGGGCTCAGTTCTCTGTCCTAACAGCCAAGGGGTCTAAGACAGCTAAAATGAGCTTTTCTTTCCACCTCACCTGCTTGCCCTCCAAGAGTCTGTGGAAACCAAAAGAAATAAAGACAAAGGTACTCCTTGACCCTTTGGAGCCACGGAGTCTACATCCATGGATTCAAACAACCACGGACAGAAGATACTAGGGGGAGTTACTATGCACTGAATGCTCAGAGGGCCTTTTCTGTGTCATTACTCCCAATATTGCATTCAGTATTTAAAACCATCTCCATGGCATTTACACTGCACTCGTATTATGTCTCCTACATCAGGGCTGAGCTATATAGGACTACACAGGTCATACACAAGTGTCATGCTATTTTGCACAAAGGGCCAGAGCATCTGTAGATCTTGGTACCATGGGGGTCCTGAAATGGGTTTCCCCAATACCAAGAATACAAAGTAAAAATGAGTACAGCCATTATACCTAGACTGTTAGGTTGAACCACTGATACTTCAGACAGCTAGGTCACAAGCAGGCTCGGGGTGATCCTTCGGTGAACTGAGGCTTGGAAAAGGAATGAGGTGGAAATCAATGGTTCCTCCCATCCACTCCTTCTTCCCTGTGCTCTCTCACCTTGCACTTAGAAGATGGGAATTGGTCCCTTTGGGCCTGGAGTAGCTACACAAAGAGCTATTGAGCCACTGCACCATTTCCTTGTTTTACGGTGTTGCTGATGAAACCCAGGGCCTCATGCAGCCTATGTAATCGTGATCGCTAAGTTAAAGCCTCTAAGTGTTTGTTGAAGTCTTCTTTTCCTCTTCTTGATGGTGCTGGGGTTTGAAGCAACTCTGCTTGCAGAGTCTGGGTAGATTTCAGTTATCCCATTAATGTATTCCCGGGGCTGGAGAGAAGGCTCAGTAGTTCAGAGCACTTGTTGCTCTTGCACAGGACCTACGTTCAATCCCAGCACCTCCACGGTGGCTCACAAATATCTGCGAGGAACTCCAGCTCCAAGACTCTGGACTGGGACTGCGCATAGCACACATGTATACATGCAGACGAAACACTCACACACATCAAACTAAACAAATAAATTAATAAACTTAATACAATCCTATAAGGAAATTGTGTCCCCCAAATTTGAGCACCGGTCAGTCATCTACAATCCCATGCAAGGCAGTGACTGACCGCTGCGGCTACAGAGGTGACCCAGGTAATTGTTTCCTTTGCCTTAAAGCTATTCATAGTTCTCAGCACTGGGAGATGTCAGCTACCTGGGCGCTCTGTGGAAGTCGCCTGCAGAAATATCATCTGAGAATGAATGAAATGGTGTCCCATGTCCCCTTCCGGTACCTCGATAAACCAAGTTGTTGTGGAGGTGCTTGATTTATTGTGTAGCGGTCTGGGATTTGGGGGGAGAGTTGCAGGGCAGGGAAGGAACCCTAGCATCTTACACTTGCTAGGCAATCCTCTACCACTGGACTGGGAATGCACCCTGGTGTCTTGCACAATCCTCTACCAGCCCTGTGCACCCTGATGAAATCAAGAGAAAGCACAACAGGGAACAGGACATTAGAGTGGGGAAAAGGAAATACGTGCGGCAGGCAGGCAGGTTGCTGGGTTGGAATCCCACTTGCACGCCTTGTCATCCTGTGACGTGGGAGCAGGTTTCCCTTGGGTACAAAGTGGAGACAGTAGCATCCTCCTACAGTTAAGACAAAGTAGTGGGCCATGCAGGGGCTGGAGAAAGTCCAGAGTGAATGTGTGTTGCTGACAGAGGCAGAGCCATGAAGGAAAGGCAAAGCCTCCCTGCTGGGATGAGGTCCAGAAGCATGGTAAAGCCTTCCTCTGGTCTGAGTGTAGATTTTGACAGTGTGTGCAGAAAATGTCCACCCCAGCTTTCTCCCCTGGATGCTTGCCACAAGCAGACTGCTCCCCTGCAGATGACTCCCACCTAGATGAGCCAAACCTGTCTCCCAGACCCAGTTGTCCACCACAAACTGTGCCTCCTTGTTTAAATGTGTGCACCCGCCTTTCTGTCCAACTCTGCCCTGAGCTTCCAGGGGTGCTGAGGCTTCTCCAGCAAAGAACAGTTACGCTGAACCCAGGTTCCTGTCTGTATGTCTTTTCCTTCATTACCTTACTGACATCATAGTCCCTGGAGAACATGAAGAACTAGGTGTTACTAACCTGGTAAATATCACCCTTCTCACCATCCACTCCTCTAGCCATGGCCTCTGGGCAGCCAACTGAAAGATGGCTCTCATTCTCTAAGGTAATGCTGGGCAAATTCCCCTGTTCCTTTCATAAAATAGTTTAAGTCTCCAAATTACATTCTCTCTACCAAAAAGCCTGGATAGCTGTTTAGCCATGGGGAGGGGGTTGCCCAAGGGCCTTATACAGGTCAAGACAGAAGTTTAGTCTACCTAGACTCTGACTCCCCATGTGACACCAGAAAGCCATACTCTCTAGCATACAGTATCACTGAAATATATGCTTCCATGGATTGGAGCAAAGGAGGAGGGCGAAGACACTGTCAAATTCGTCAGGAGGAAGAAATAGCCATGTCTGTGTAGGGGTAAGGAGACATAAAGCTTAGTCTATTTTTTTCCATGTAACAAATTACCTGAGGCCAAATACACCAAGAATTTTAAATTCAAGCCCAACCTGGTGTTACAGGCTTGTGATCTCAGCTTCTTGGGAGGCTGAAGCAGGAGGATCAAAATTCCAAGGCCTGCCTAGGCTACAGAGTGAGTTAGTCCAAGGGCAGCCAGTAAAGTTAGTGAGCACCAATGACCAAAAATAAATAGATAGATAGATAGATAGATAGATAGATAGATAGATAGATAGATA